CGCAACAAGTGGTGGGCTCCGGGAACCGTCCTGTCTCCCAGCTCTGTGCAGTGTCTCAGGATGGATCCGTCCCACAGATCTCCTTCCTCGCCTCCCACCCCCAGACTCCATCCAACGTAGATTTACATACACCTCGAGGCTTGGCAAAGCTGCTGCTTTTTTTTTTTTTTTAAGATTTTATTTATTTATTTGAGAGCAAGACAGGGAGCACGAAAGAGAGAGAGAGAAAGAACATGAACAGGGGGCTGGGTGGGGAGGAGCTGAGGCAGAGGGAGAAGCAGGCTTCCCGCTGAGCAGGGAGCCCAACTCGGGGCTCGATCCCAGGACCCTGGAAGCATGGCCTGAGCCAATGGCAGACACTTAACCAACTGAGCCCCCAGCCGCCCCAAACTGCTTTATCTTCCTTCCCCCACCTCCTTCAAAGCTAATCTGTTGCTCTTTCTGTAGCCTCCTGTTAAGCCCCATTTTAGCAATACCGCCTGGTGGTTAAATGCATGGGTCTTAGAATCAGACACACCTTATCCCTGCCTTGCACCAGCTGTGGAACTTAGGACACGTTACCTTACCTCTCTGAGCCCCAGAGGCCTTCTCTGTAAAACAGAAATCGTAGCTATCAAGTGATTGTGCATTCACACAACCACGTGAAGGAGCTCAACACAGGGCCTGGCACAGAGTCCGCATCCAATCCAGGAATGGCGGGACTCAAGTTCTCTACAAAGCCATTTTAGGGGGCGCCTAGGTGGCTCAGTGGTTGAGCATCTGCCTTTGGCTCTGGTCGTGAACCTGGGGTTCTGGGATCGAGTCCCCCATCAGGTTTCCCCGCAGGGAGCCTGCTTCTCCCTCTACCTATGCCTCTGCCTCTCTCTCTGTGTCTCTCATGAATAAATAAAGAAAATCTTTTTTAAAAAGCCATTTGGAAGAAAGGCACACCTGTTCCCCCGGTGCCTTCGTGATGACATACCTCCGAGGATGAAGTACGGCGCTCACCGCGGCCTGGCCGCCCGGCCCAGGGAGTGGTGGGGGCGAGGGGAGGAGGTGCACTGCAAAGCCAGCTGGATTTGATGGGGCACCTCGCCTGCTGCTCGGAGCTGTGTCCCCGAGGGCAGGTGGCGTAACCTCTCGGAGGCTCACGGGTGGCGGGGCTAATCATTCCTGAGGGGCGGCTGCGGCTGGTGCTTGCCTGACCCTTCCCGTAGCGACTGCCCTGCCTAGCAGATTCCTAAGCATCCCTTCTTGTCCTCTGCCCGCGTCCACTCTCTCTAGCCCAGCAGCCCTCTTCCCTCCCCTCTACCTTTACGACTCATTTGCACAGTGATCTTCATTTTTCCTGAATGCTCAGTCCACAAGAACGTCTTCTAAGAGAATGGGAACCTGACACCTTTGACCTTGGTTGGTGGGAAGGTGGCCTGAAACTCCCCGGCAGGACGGGGACGGCAGCAGTGGTGGCGCCCAGCGCCTTTCTTCCCCTGCATGGGACCGGAACTTAGTGACCAGAGTGACTGGGGCCTGGGCCCCACTGAGTTCTTCCTTTGTGATGGGCATGTGGCCTGGTTCCCTGGGAATGCAGCTGGGGATCCCTTTTATGGGATGCCCGGTGCCCAATTATGCCTCTTGGCAGGAAGCGGCTGGGGTGCAGGGAGAATGGTCAAGGAGCTCCTTTGTGCTGGGGACCCATCACGCGGCCAGGCACCTCCGACCGCCGAAGTCCCTCCCGGGCCAGGCAGCAGGGCCGGGCGCCCCTGGGACTGCGCCTTCCCTGGGCCGGGCGACGGGCTCGGTGGCCACACGGGGTCCTGGTTCCTAAATCCTCATAGAATTTCTGGGATTCAGCGGGAACGGGGCACGGGAAGCCTTGGCCATCACTTGGGACCCTTTGCTCTGCCTCAGCTCCGACAGCCCCGTTTGGTTGTTTTCTTTCTTTCTTTTGTTCAATTTTATTCAAAGCGTTGTCTCCGTATTAGATCCACAGAGACTCCAGGGCGGGTGCGGGATGGGCGCGCTGGGGTCTCAGCCAGGTGGAGGGCTCTCGTGTCCAGGGCTGTGACCGTCCACCCTCACCCCAGAAATCCCTGCTGGCTCTGGTCAGCCAAGGGTGCAGGTGGGGGGGAGGAGAGCTGCTGCCCAGAAGGGGGCAGTTTTGGGGCTCTCACCCCTGCCGACCTCTGCCTAGGAACGCCAGGGAACCCAGAAGGCTCAGACTCCACCAGGGAATGTTGGTAGAGTCGCCTCTCGGTCACAATCACATTTAACCTGGGCGCCTCTCCCACCTTGCTGGCAAATGGTTTGCGTTACGGATACTCCGGAAAGTTGCTCCAACCCATCCTCTCTCCCTCGGGGCCAACCGTGGCTAGGAATTTCCCGAACTCGATATGGGACACGGGTCAAACTTTCTACCTTGCCAGATATTCATTCTACCAATAGTCACTAAGCACCTGCTAGGTTCCCTAACAAGAACTTTCATTCAGGGAGTTTAAACTCCAATGGGGGAGCCAGGGAGCAAACAGGAAAGCAAAACAAGACTATTACAGATTGTAAGGTAATGTCATCCAGCCATGGGAAGACACCAGGCCTGGGGTTTAAGGATAGCCGGGTGAGGGAGGGGCACCCTATATAGAGTGGTTAAGGAAATCCTCATTGAGGGGGCAGCGTTTGAACTGAGAAACAGAAGTAGTAAAGAACTAGCCAGACCAAAGAGACAGATGGAAGAGAGTTTCAGGCATTGGGAACAGCAAGTACAAAGGCCCTGTGGCAGAAAGTGCTTGGTGTGGGGGAGAAACAGAACAGAAGCCACCGAGAGTTGGTGAGCCAAGAGAGAAGGTGTGAGAGAGGCAGGAGCCAGGCCAGTCTGGTGGGACTGGAGGCCACAGCAAAAGAGTTTGGAATTTATGCCAAGAGTGGTGGAAAGATGTTGACGGGTGTTGGAAATTCCTGTTACAAAGTAATTCAGCCATTGAAGACGGTGTCTATGAGATATCTGCGCAGTTTAAGGACTAATGTGATGAATAAACACCCACATGTCGTTTGGTGTTACCTGGCTGGGAGCTTCAGGTAAATGGAAACGTGCTACGTGTGCTTTTCTGCTCAGCATCACATTCGTCAGAGTGGGCCGCGCTGACGCACATAGCTATGGGGGACCCATGTTCGGGGTACACATGGCTATGTGGTATGCCCCCGGATAACCCTGTCATGGCTTATCCTTTCTCCTGGTGCTGCATGGCCTTTTTGATTTTCTTTTTTTTTTTTTAATTTAATTTAATTTTATTTTATTTTATTTTATTTTTTTAATTTGATTTTCTAATGGTGAACCAATCCTACATTCTTGGAATAAACCCAACCAACGTGATTGTGATGTATTATGTAGTCATCTTTTTAAATTTATTTTAAATTTATTTATTTACATTCAATTAACACATAGTGTATTCTTAGCTTCAGAGATAGAGTTCGGTGATACATCAGTTGCATAGAACACCGAGTGCTCATCACATCACATGTCCTCTTTCATGCCCGTCACCCAGTTCCCCCATCCCCCCCCCCGTCCCCTCCAGCGACCCTCACTTTGTCTCCTGTGATTAAGAGTCTCTTACGGTTTGTCTCCCTCTCTGATTTCATCTTGTTCTATTTTCCCCTCCCTTCTCCTCTGCTCCTCTGTTTTGTTTCTTAAATTCCACGAGTGAGATCATATGATAATTATCTTTCTCTGATCGATTTACTTCCCTTGGCATAATACCCTCTGGTTCCATCCATGTCATTCCAAATGGTAAGATTTCATTTTTTAATGGCTGAGTCATATTCCATGGTATGTATAAATCACACCTTCTTTATCCATTCATCTCACGACGGACATGTGGGCCCTTTCCATAGTTCGGCTATTGTGGACATTGCTGCTGTGAACACTGGGGTGCAGCTGCCCCTTCAGATCACGACATTTGTATCCTTTGGGGTAAATCCCCAGTAGTGCAGTTGCTGGGTCGTAGGGTGGCTCTGTTTTTAACTTTTTGAGGAAACTCCACACAGTTTCCAGAGTGGCTGCACCAGCTTGCATTCCCACCCACGGTGCACAAGGGTTCCCCTTGCTCCGCATCCTCGCCAACATCTGTTGTTTCCTGACTTGTTCATTTTAGCCCTTCTCACTGGCATGAGGTGGGATCTCACTGTGGTTTTCACTCATATTTTCCCGGTGCCGAGTGATGTGGAGCATTCTTTCATGTGTCTGTTGGCCATTTTTCACGTCTCCTTTGCAGAAAAGTCTGTTCATGTCTCCTGTCCCTTTCTTGATTGGATTATTTGTTCTTTGGGTGTTGAGTTTGATAAGTTATTTATAGATTTTGGATACTAGCCCTTTACCTGATAAGATGTCTGCAAATATCTCCTCCCATTCTGTGGGTTGTTTAGTTTTGCTGTTTCCTTCGCTGTGCAAAAGCTTTTTATCTTGATGAAGTCCCAATAGCTCACTTTTGCCTTTATTTCCCTTGCCTTTGGAGGCGTGTCTAGCAAGAAGTTGCTGCCACAAGAAGTAGCAAGAGGTGGCTGCCTGTGTTCTCCTCTAGGATTTCGATGGGTCCCTGTCTCACACTGGGATTCCATTTGCTTATATTTTCTTGAGGATTTTTGTTTGTGTGCAGACAGATCAGATTGGCCTGTCATTTTCTTTCTTGCCTTGTCCTTGTTTGGTTTTGGTATCAAGGTTCTACATTCCTCATAAAATGACTTAGGGGAGTGTTTCCTCTCCTTTTAGCCTCCGGAGCACTTGTAGAAGATGGATAAAATCTCAGAAGGGTCTGGTGAATGCAGCTACCAGACGGTCATCCTTCTGCGGCCCTACTTTTTTTGTACAGCATCTTGGCTTCTTCGGGCACAACTTCCCTTACATGTGCCCCAACCCCAACCCGATGCCATCCACCTCCACCAAGAAAAACAGAGAAAACACATTCCTTCCCTATGAGCACCCCAAATTGAAATGCTCACAGCTAACTGAGAAAGCTGTTTCTGGTTTTTTGCAGAGGGATCCTTAACTCAAGACTGTAACATGAAGAGTTGTTTTCAGGCCTGCCCCGAGTGCCCCCAGGTAACAACAGGTAGGTGCTTCTCCTAACTGGTTAACCACTTTACATGAAAACCCAGGTATAGGATCCCTCACTTATTCCTTGGGCCCAACTGGAACATGAGCCGTGACGGATCCAGCCAGAGGTAAGTCTGGCTGAGCTGGGACCCCGGTCTGCCCGCCAAGGCTGCTCTGTTTTAGGGATGTGTTGGAAACTATGTGGTCCAAATCCTCTAAGCACAAAATTAGCTTCTTTCCATATTTTTGAAAGGGAAAGAACACCTTACTAAATATAACATGGGTCAACAAGCCAGAAACAAGATAAATAGCCACCAGCTGTAGCTCGGGAGCTGGGTTCCACACCCCTGGTGAACCCACCAGGCTCCTGGTCTCCTCCCGAGGGAGGGCCGAATCGATGGGCAATTTTAAGCGACCATTGGACGCCCAACCCTGCCACGAACCCGAAACACAAAAACTTTTATTTCATTTTTTTATTCTAAAAGCAACACATACACATTTCTGTGTTTCCAGTTGTTACTCTCCCAGTAAGAGAAAATAATCATTCTAACCGCACCGCACAGAAGACAACTGAAAACACCACGGTATGCATAATTTGAGAGTTTTGAAATTTAATATATACACTAAATAGTGTTTCCCAACCTTTTTTCTCCAATGTTGTCCCACAAAGAGTCTTTTTAGATATTGTTTTTATTATGTGCCTACTTCACCCCCCCACCCCATGAAATTTTAATGCTGCAGATAGGCTCTGTGTCTGTTTATGTATTGCAGCGGGCCATAAACCATTGTAATATCTAAGACTATTTTACACCACCCCCAAGAACGAATTTTTGCCCCCATTAAAGGTCGTCTCGCCCCTTTGGGAATGCAAGCTTTAAATACTATTAAATAACAGACTTTTCTATAAGAACCTTCTATGTGCTTAGTCACCTATCATTGTAGGTGCTTTATGCACATTTACACTTATCATAACTCTCCTATGAGGTGAATACTTAGAAAGCTTTTATCTCCACTTTACAGTTGTGGAAGCTGAAGCACAGAGAGGTTAAGTAACTTCCCCAAGGGCACACAGCTGGGAAAATTCAGAGTGAAGATCTGAGCCCAGGGAGCCTGGTTCCAACGTTGATGTTGAACCACCAAGCTATGTTGCCTTGGGCCAATACATTCTGATTAAAACTAGTTCAAGAAACAGAAATAGAGTAACAGGTACACTTCCCAAGCCCTCTCTATTCTCAGAAGCAATCATGCTAAATTTGGAATGTGCCATTTGTCTGAGATTTTTACATACATGTTTGCACAGATGAAAATCTTTTGTCTCTTGTTTATTTTAACATAAGGAGGATCACCCAGTCTTCCTATATATTCACGTATCTAGATCTGTATATAGAATTTTTTTAAAAAAAATTAGAATCATACTGAACATACTGGGTTGTTGTTTTTCTTAACCTTGTTTGAATTTAAAATGTATCATTAGCTGGCTTGAAACTATAATTGAACAAGCACAGGTACTGTATTTTATTTAACCAGATACAGATTATTGGCTTTTTAAGTACTTTCTAGTTTCTTGCTACTATAAAGCTACAATGAATATCCTTGCCTGGCACATAATTCTTAGAAGTCAGAATTATAGAGCCCAAGGGTATAAGCATTTTTGTAACTTTTGATCCATAAATGCCAAAATTTGCCATCTGGAAAAATTGTCATAGAATTGCTTATCCCAACACCATTACTCACACCGGCTATTATCGCCTGTTTTCAATCACTGACAATTTAACAGGCCCAAATGTCTGAATCCTGACATTTTCATCTGTCAGTGACTCTTACCAGGGGCCTGTTTTACTCATGTGAAGGGTAAGGCAAAGCTTGAGTCCAGAGAGCAAGGTGGAAGGTAAAAGAGGCACCGATCAGTGGTCTAGAAAACTGGCAGCCTAGGGACAAGGCCTACCTGTTGGGCCCCTAGCCGGTGGTCAGTGATGGGCTTTCTCATCCCGTGCTTCCCGCACCAGCCTCGAGATGCACCTCTACACCAGTGAGCCCTTCCCCTCCTCTGGCCTGGTCTCAGATCCATTTGGCAGAACAGTTAAACCCCTCGTCCTTTCCCTTGCTGGCTGTGAGTGATATTTGAGAAACAAATACCCTTGTGTGTATAGTGGGCTTTTCAGCTGACCCAGTGCAACTGTCTGCAGCAGGATGGGACCCCCTGGGCAGTGCCCTGCGTGCTTACACATACACGTCCCCACACCAGTATGCACGCATATGTGCATAGGCACAAATGCACCCAGCACGGCACAGTCAGGGTGCAGACCCTATTATATGAAATGGGACCTCTCTCTCGCACCGACTTTCCATACGCCCTCCGGCCTGAGTTAGGACACCCACCTACCAAATTTGTTTCTAGACTTTCTTCCCACTCTCTTATTATCCCTTGTAGACTTTTTCCTGCTGGCCTGGAGGCACCACTAACCCTTAATTTGCTCACTGGTGGTCCATCCATTGCCCAACGCTGCTTAGCAGATGCGCAGGAAATATTTGTTGAATGAAAAAGAGAAGGAACAGACCTCAAGCCAATGAAGGATATTATCCCAAATATTTTTAGAATATTTTTTTTAACAAAGTGGCCACATTCAGATCGAGCCCGTTGTTTGATGAGAAAATATCTCTGCAGCATTAGATTTCAAGTGGCCTGGTTAGCCGTCCTTCTGGAAAGATCGGAAAGAATGCGGAATTGAAAATAGGACCTTGCCCATCCAAACATCTGTTAGGCTCTACTGTTCTGCAAAGGTCGCTGTCCTGGGAATAATGTATTGAGGAGCAGTCGGCCAGGAAGGGCGCTGCTCGCTGGTCCTCCTGGCCCCTGAAAGTATTCTGAGCCCAACCTTCAGGTGACCTGCTTCTCTCGCCCACTCTCCCGGCCGTGGAATCCCAGGACCGTGGGCTGCTCCCTTTAGCACAAGGTCTCTGAGCTGCTTCATGGGAAGAGTTTCTTGGCCAGCCGCTAAGGTGAGGAATAGCCATGATTTTGCCCCTTTAAGAAAAGCAAAACTCTGTGTAGCTGAAGGGAGGCGAGCCCTATTCTGGTCTATCCTGCATCTGATGCTGCAGATGTGTTTGGAGCCCTGCTGTATCCCGGCGCAGGGATGGGGGAGATGTGTCACGGGAAGAGAGAGACTGGCCACAGTCGTCACTGGGGGCCTGTGGGAGCCCACAGAAGGGGCGGCTGAGAGTGTGGCTTGGGGTCGGGGGGAGGGACCAGAGAACTGCAGAAGTGCTGGAAGGGCGAGGTGAGAGATGGAGGCCGAGAGGCGGTCACAGGTGTGATTGTAGGGGACCGGATTTCCCACCCCAGGAACCGGGGAGCCCCAGAGGGTGGGGAGCAGCCCCGCAGGCGGTGCGGACTGGGACGGATCACCGCCGATGCCCGTCACCCTGGCGATGTGGGCCCCGTCCTTCGCTCCGAGCTGGACTTTACTGCACTTCCCTAAATTCCACAAAATGTTTTCAGGACCCGACCTTTCTGGCCTCCTGCATGGAAAGGTCTGGCTTTTCCTTTTCGGGTGGGGTAGGCGGGTCCGCCGTCGTCGAGCCACGGGCTCCCGGAGGAGCCGGCGCAGCGTGAGACATCTGGAACGCATCGACGGCGAGGCCCCGCCGAGCCCGTGGCCCGGCCCGCTCCGAAGCTCCACCAGGAGTTAGGGAGACAGCCGCTGTGTTCCCCGAAGCGGCCTGAATCCCTACTGATCTCCCTCTCCTTCCTGCTTTCCTTCCAGAACTCTCGGCCGCAGCTGTCCACGCGGGAGGCCCCGCATCGGCTCGACAGCGGCCCTCGAGAGCGCGGCTGCTGGGTCTCTAGTGTGGCACTAGGGATTTTGTTGTTCTCGCTGCTGCTGCTGCTGCTGCTGCTACTCTCGTTTATTTATTTTCTTTCTCTGAACCGGGCCTCGCCCTGCTCCCAGTGGCATGATGGCCCAGTCGAAGGCCAACGGCTCCCACTACGCACTCACTGCCATCGGCCTGGGGATGCTGGTTCTCGGAGTCATCATGGCCATGTGGAACCTGGTGCCCGGCTTCAGCGCCTCCGAAAAGCCGACGGCCCAGGGGAACAAGACAGAGATAGGCAGCGGCATTCTCAAGAGCAAGACCTTCTCCGTGGCCTACGTGCTGGTCGGGGCCGGGGTGATGCTCCTGCTGCTCTCCATCTGCCTCAGCATCCGGGACAAGAGGAAGCAGCGGCAAGGCGAGGAGATGGCCCACATCCAGCACCCGCAGGGGGTCGAGCCACGCACCACAGAGGAAGACAGGTGAGGCCCGGCCGACTACCCCCTATACACGCACACATGCCTGACCGGGGGACGGGGGGTGGACACACTCATAGGGTTCACCAACGAGGCTATTTTAGTCTGGGAAACTCTGCCTTTCTACTCCCCCACCCCCCCCAAGACTCTGTAAAGCAGGGTACAAGTTGCCAAATAACTTCATACTTCTATCTCAGAGTTTCCCAGATAATGTCGTATGAATGGATTAGGGGCGTATCGAGATTTTGACACCTGCAGGGGAGCTGCATGGGGCGCCAGGGCAGCCAGAGCCTCCAGACAGGGCCGCTTGTCCATTCCCTCCGGCATGCTGCACTGCTGTACATGCTTTGTGCTGGAAGGGTTGGGAAGTAGAGTTCTATTTGACCAGAAATGCCAGGAACGCATGTAAGAGGCAAACGATAAATTGGGGAACACATGCTGAAGGCTGACATCCCTATTATAAAAAGAGCCCGACGAATGAGTATGACAGGTGAACACACCAGGAGGGAAATGGACAGAGGATACAAGCAAGCCTCTCATAGATGCTCAGACAATACATGTTCAACCTCATTAGTCACGAAATGCAAAAAAAGAAGGTGTCATTAGTCTTTGCCTATCTCAGTGGCCGAGACGGACAGCCCCCGGCGTTGGGAGAGCTGTGGGGCACTGGGTCACCGATGCGGGTGTTGACTGACACCACCTTTCTGAAGACCAGTTTCACAGTGAGAGGAGGTATTGAAGATGCGTGTCCCTATCTGTTCTGTTCCTAAGAGTTTACCCTTGGGAGAAAAATCACACAAGTGCAAAGGGGTTTGTGCCTTGGGCTTATCAGAGCATTGCTTAGAATAGCAAAAATGGAGAAACAGCCTAAATAGCCATCATTCAAGCTACAATCTGGCACGCCCATCAGTGGCTGTGGCACAGCCGTAGCTGATCTATAGTTGTTAACTTGGGACCACACACACCACGTTGAGAAAGGGAGGTTATAACACAGCATCTCTGGTTCTAAACGCATCAAATGTTGCAGCTGTGGGATTAGAGGGAGGTTGGGAAAAGTGTCCAACAGAAGGTTAACGGTGGTTGTCTCCAGGTGGAAGGAGTTGGGATGGTTTTATTGTTTTTCTGGGCTGTTTAGATTCTCTATGACTTTGTCATCTTTCTAGCAGGAAGGGAGGGGAGTTGTTTTTAGTTTGGAAAAACTAAATCCGTTCTCTGATCATAAAAGAGCATGCATGCACAGTCGAGAAAACTTAGGAAATACAGAAAAGAACAAAGAAGGAAAATCAAGTCACCCTGAACTACCCACCCTAGCCATGAGCACACACATGCCCAAGGGCAATGCATGCAGGGTCTGGACCAACCTGGTAGGGGGACGGTGATGTTGGCCATGATCGCCGCACAGGGTCAAGTGTAGAGTCCTAGTAAATGGCTAATGGCCTGACTCCCTATATGTGTGTAAAGAAACAAAAACAAAAACACCCCTGGCTTTCTGGCTTTTTTCTTTCAACGGTCAAATGAGAATAAGCCTGACGATAAGACCTTTGAGCCTTATAGTGAACTTGGAAGACAATATTATAGAATAACTTGAAATACATAAAATTTTATAACGGAAGTTCCTTCTCTACCTGGGGACAAGCATTTTGCCTCAAATCAGCAGCTGTTTCACGCATGTTTATGTGGCCTTTGGCCAACGGACGCAGCTGGGCACCAGAACAGCCCATCCGGCATATGGTTGAGTGTGAGCCTGAAAAGCAAAGGGGGTTTAGTACTTCCTTGTGTTACGGCTTCCAGATAATCCAGGGTAGTCCCTGTGGTAACTGGTCTCCAGTTCCTGCTCTACCCCTTCCTAAATACACGACCAAGTCAAATACATAACCTTGATGTATCAGTTTCCCCTTCTGTAAAATGGGTGTAAAAATAGTACCTAACTCCTAGCCTTGTTAGGAAGATGAAAAGTGGTTGATGTGTGTTACTTAGTACTTCGTGAAAGTACTTAGAACAGTACCTGACTCACAGCACACAGTTGAAGTGTTAGCTTTCGTTACTTCTGGGACCCACTGGTTGTTCACAAGGCTGGTGTATGAGGACCCAGTGCTGACACAGGATCCGGAGTTCATCTCCTTGTGACTTTAAATGCGGACTGGGCACATGCTAACGCTCTCTGTGTTGGTGTTGGTGTCTTGCAGCCAGGAGGAGGAGGAGGAGGAGGCCTCCTCCAGGTACTATGTCCCCAGTTACGAGGAAGTGATGAACACAAACTACTCGGAAGCGAGGGAGCGGGACCAGAACCCGAGGATGAGCATCTCTCTCCCCTCCTACGAGTCCTTGACGGGGCTTGATGAGACGAGCCCCACGGGCGCCAGGGCCAGCGCGGACACCAGCCCGGGAAACCCACCCGACAGACAGAACTCCAAGTTGGCCAAACGCCTGAAGCCGCTGAAAGTTCGAAGGATTAAATCCGAAAAGCTGCACCTCAAAGACTTCAGGATCAACCTCCCCGACAAAAACGTCCCTCCTCCCTCCATCGAGCCTTTGACGCCCCCGCCGCAGTACGATGAGGTCCAGGAGAAGGCTTCCGACGCCCGGCCACCTGACTGACGGGCTTGCAGGTGTGTCCCTCCGGGCGCTCACCCTCCACACCACGGACCCCCGGGGAAGCCACTTCAGCTGCAGTTGAGAAGCGGAGGGGCCGGACGTGTACAGATTGACGGGGATGGGGACGGGGGGTGGGGGTCCTCTGACAAGGGACTGACGACGTCCGCGATGCCACACGTGGCAGGTGCATTGGAAAGAGCTGCCTCCGCGGAGCTGGGGACGTGGACCCCGTGGGGGGCGCGGGGCACCCCCTCCCCCCGCCCTTCTTCCCCAACTCTTGAGTTGCTGGCGACAACACTTCTCTTTCCAATCAGGACAGGACACCTAGCAGCTGGTTTAGGTTGTGATTTTGTTTTGCTTCCACTAGGACTGTTTTGTTTCAAAAAGAGAACAAGACAGGCCTTTTGCTTTCTTCACCGGACTCCTGAGCCTCGGGATGGAGATGTGACTTGGTTTTCTGGAAAGGATGCGGGGCTGTTTCATGAATGAAGCGAAACAAGGAGGCTGATGGACGAGGTGGGGCTCTCTCGGAGCTCCTGAAGCTGTTGGTTCTCCGAGGGCCCAAGGCCCGGGGGTGCATGAGATCAGAGCCTCTACCGGTACGCTTTCCTGGTGACTCCTGCGTAAGGGCGAGAAAGGAAAGCTGTAGATGTTTTATTCCTTCTAAAATGCTGTGCAACTGAGCTTTTTATAATAAAATATTTTATATGTAGTACATTTGGGCACTGAATTCCCATGGATGGCAGCTCTTCATAGGGAGAAACATCACTGATGATAATAATTGCTAATCTGCACAAAACAGGTCATATCACCAGGCACTGTGCTAAGTATTTCACGTACGTTACCCCATTTCATCTGCATCCTGGTATCACTGCCATTCGGTAGGTTAGCCCGCAGAGGCTCAGGTTAGGTAAAGTGCCCCACGTCACATCGCTAGTGAGTAGCAGAGCTGGAGTCTGAACCCAGGCCGTCTGGCTCTAGGGCCTGAGTTCTTTCAACGCTCTACTGTGTGACTCAGCGTAAAGGGCTTTTTCAGACTTGGAAGGAGGATCTGTGCTTCCCAAGAGCTGGGGCTGCACCATCAAACTGAATGCTCAAGAGAACATTGTGGCTGTTTAGACAGTAGCTCCTACCTCCCTAAACAACCTCCCAACATCCCCCTCCTGAAACCCGGCCCAGAGGGGCTGTATGCTCATGCAGGCCAGGTCAGCATGTCCTCACGGACAGGGCAAAGTGCCTGCCCTCTGGAGCCCAGGAAAGCAGTTCAGCTAATGAGAATGCCCAGGGGCCTGCCTGCTGGCTGCGCAGAGGAACAGTGACGTCTGGGGTCTTGCCCATGGAGTGGGAGTCTGGGAAGATACACCTGAGTCCAAGGCTGCCTTCCCGGTATTGCTGAGCATGAAGTGGAGTCTGCATGGCTAGGAGTAGAGTAAGTTCTGGGGCCCTGAAAGCTTAGTAGGGAAGGGGGAGCAGGTAAGGAGTGAATTACCTCCTTATCTCAGATAGTCAACAGGGTCTAAATTCCAACCTTTCTTTCACTTTACTTATGCAAATCCATCTGTGACAAAGGAGCTGCAAGGACCTGCCTGGTGGCTAAGACACCAGAGGCCTGGTCTGGTCCCAGCCCACTGCCTGCCGGCCTATGGCTCTCCATGTATCTGTGGGCTGGGCCTGTTCTTTGCTTATTCTTTATGCTTCCTCCTGATGGGAAGACTGGAAACAGAAGGAAAAAGAAAAGGAGACTAGCAGGGCACCTGGGTAGTTCAGTTGGTTAAGCCTCCAACTCTTTTTTTTTTAATTTTTTAAAAATTTATTTATTCATGAGAGACACACAGAGAGAGGCAGAGACACAGGCAGAGGGAGAAGCAGGCACTGTGCAGGGAGCCAGATGCAGGACTCGATCCCAGAACCCCGGGGTCATGCCCTGAGCCAGAGGCAGATGCTCAATGCTGAGCCACCCAGGCGTCCCTAAGCCTCCAACTCTTGACTTGGGCTCAGGTTATGATCTCAGGGTCGTGAGATCAAGCCCTGGCTAGACAGAGCTGTGTTAGAGCCCTACGTTGAACTCCATGCCCAGTAAGAAATCAGCTGGAGATTCTCTCTCCCTCCCTCTGCCCCTTTTAAATACATCTTTAAAAAGGAGAACAGCAAGGTTCCAAATGATAGAAACGTCCCTCAATGTGGGCTGTAGTAGATCATCCTGCAGGGCGTCTGCCCAGCCTAGACCCTCCTTGAGGGAGAAAGGTTGGGGGGCCTGTAGTGGGCTGGATGGTAACCCCAAATGATAATCAGGACCTAATTCCTATGATCTGAGAATGTTACCTTACAAGGTAAAGGTTTTGCAGTTGTGGTTAAGTTAAAGGTTTTGAGATGAGGGTATCCTGGAATATCCAGGTGAACTCTATATGCCACCCACGAGTGCACTTACAAATGAGAGATGGGGGACACCGCACAACATGGGATGAAACATCCTGAGCTCCCAGTGACACTGTTAAACATTCACACAAATGCCAGAACTGGACATCTTCACCTTAGATGAGCAGTTCTCCCCCAGGATTAACTTTGCTGCCCAGGGGCCATTTGGAATGTTACAGTGGCAGTAAGGGGGCTGCTTCGGGCATCTGGTGGGGCCAGGATGCTACTAAACATCCTACAGTGATGTCAACCACCCAGGTTGACAAATCCTGCCCTAGACATAGGAAGATCCATTCTCTTGGGCAGTGAGAACTCTGAGGGTAGAGCCTGGCCACCCAGAGTCAGCTCCATCAAAAACCAAGAAACACTATCCTTGAGGATCAGCCTGAGTATGATATTTATGATTTTCCTTTAAGGAAAAAAAAAAAACTGTCACTTTTACAAAGTGTCCCCAATCCAGAACTGTAAATCTCATTCTCTACAGCATGATATAAATAGGTCTCTCCTCTTTTTCTCCATCCCCAGTCCCTGCTCTGGGCATTAAAACTCTCCACTGAAATTTATTAACTATCATTTAAAGGATGTGGGAAAGAGAATAGTCAGTAGTATTTACAAACCCAAATACATTTTTAAGAAGGTTTAGGTTACTTAAAAGGCTAATGAAGGCTATATTTCAAAATAAAACAACTAGGATATAATTTGGGAAGCAAAAATTACAGCATGATCTTTTCTGGAATGTAATTCTTCTCAAAAAAAAAAAAAAAAAAAAAAAAAAACGATGTCCGTAATACAGTATGCTTCTCAGGGATGAGCTGGGCTCAGTACCGTATAAACTTTGAGAGGTGCATGGAAACTTCAAACCCAAAAATGTTCTTACTCTTTATCCTCAAGATGTCTTATTTTAGAAAGCATCTTGGCAGTTGTGTCCAGTCAAGAGAAATTATTAGCATCTACTTTAACAAAACACAAAAGAGGGAAAGATAATGTAACAACGTGGTAGCAACTAGACAAACTGTAAGCAGGTGTTTATAAGAGAAAGTGTGTGAATACTTGATATAAGCAAGTGAATAAGTGCACCTGCCTCACCTAACTGTGGGACCCCCGGGTGGCTCGGTGGTTGAGCATCTGCCTTTGACTCAGGGCGTGACCCCAGGGTCCTGGGATCGAGTCCCTACTTCTGGGATGGGTCCCTATGTCTCCCTCTGCATACATCTCTGCCTCTCTCTCGTGTCTCTCATGCATAAATAAATAAAATCTTTAAAAAAAAATAAAATACAATTGAAAAATGGAGCCAGTTAAATAAAAAGCTGCATTTATTGTTTCTGATGAATTAGCTCTCTTTTTAAAAATCGCATTCATGTACTAGTCCACCACCGAGTGGGTTGTTTTAATTCAGTACAAATGCAGCAGAAAAAGAGATATGGGGGAAAAGCCATGAGCCGTAACTTTAATGAATTTTAAAGGTAATGCGAGGTTTATTGAAAATATCCAATTGATCAAAATGGCAAAGAAATGCGACCCCAAAAAAGCTGACTACTATATGGGATAAAACTTGATTGTGATGTTTATTTTCCAAGGTCAGAGGGAAAAAAAAATTGAATGCGTTAAGTTTTCCCATTGGCCTGAAAGCAATAAAAATTGTCCATTAATCTTCCTTTAGGCCAATAATAGAACAGTCTCAAGGGGCAGAGTAGGAGCCAGAAATAAGACTGGAGGGGAAACGTAGGAGAATGTATCTATGGACATGTTAGGAACAGGCTGTCCTATCATTGTGATTCGTGTATCCTTGAATTCTCAGATGTGTACATTTTTATACATCCTTTCATTGAATAAACATTGGGTTAGAAAGGAATATGCAAGTCAGGGCTTTTTCGACTCTGGCACTATTGACCCTTGGAGCTGGATGACATCGATGACATCCCCATCGGTGGGGAGCGTGCTGTCCTACGCACCATTGGATGTTTAGCGGCAACCCCGGCCTCTCCCAGCTAGGTGCCAGTAGCCTCTCCCACGTGTGACAATCAAAAAGTCTCCAGACATTGTCACGAGTCCCCAGGGATGCAAAATATCCCCGACTGAGAACCAGAGCTTGAAGTCTAGTGGAAAGAATGTGGGATGGGAAATTGGAAAAAAATGTTATCGCTCAGGTTGTAATTTCCATGTTTGTCAAGTGAAGATGTTGACAGGTGCCTCGGGTGACAAGACTCGGGAGAGCCCAATGAGCAAACTATATGTGCAAATGCTACAAAAAGTAGAGTTTTGGGCAGGAAGGCTCTAGAGCTCATCTAGGGATGAGCTTCCTCGTACAGAGAAGGAAAACTAAGACGAAGATGTTTACCTAAAGACTACCCCAATGGGGTACAAACGTGGAGGGCTGTAAATAACGATTGCGTGGTTTCCACGGGGAAAAACAAAGGACACAGAGCCCATTTCAGCGGACCCCTGAGATGGCATAGTGTGACACTCAATCCAAATAATGGCTTCAATGGGCTGGGACACATCTACAACTTTTTAAAAGATTAATACATTGGTTTTGAGAGAGAAAGAGAGAGAGAGAGAGAGCATGGGGCGGGGGCAGAGAGCAAGAATCTCAAGTAGACTCCCCACTGAGCACAGAGCCCCACGCAGGGCTCAATCCCATGACCCCGAGATCATGACCTGAGCCGAAATCAAAAGTGGGAAGCCCAACTGACTTAGACACCCAGGCACCCCTGCAGATCTTTGAATCAAAGATTCCTAATGAAATTTTTTAAAAAATTCATCAGTCACCTTGGCAGTTGCTTCTCACTTTGAATATTGACACATAAAAAGAAAGAACTGATCCTTTGTTCTGCCTTTCCTGAACAAGCCGTATTTTATGATAAATAGTGAAGGAAAACCCTTCTTTCTCAAAGAATTCTAGCTAATAATTACCAAATGAATAGCAATCAGAAAAGTCACAAAACTTAGCAACCCCAAAGGAAATAGTGGATCTAGAGAATGATATGCAAAAAAAAGCTAAAATTGGGGCAGTCCCAGTGGCTCAGCGGTTTAAGTGCCTGCCTTCAGTGTAGGGCGTGATCCTGGAGACCGGGGATCGAGTCCCATGTCGGGCTCCCCACAAGGAGCCTGCTTCTCCCTCTGCCTGTGTCTCTCTCTCTGTGTATCTCTCATGAATAAATAAATAAATAAATAAATATCTTTAAAAAAAAAAAAAAAACTAAAACTATTAGTTAAAAAGTTGATGAGTCCCAGTTCCATCAACGAATGAATGGGTAAACAAACTGTGGTACCTAGATACAATGGAATATTATTCAGGAA